GAAATGGTGCTTTGCTGGCAGCTCTGGGCAAAGTCCCCGCCGGGGCAGAAGGAGAGGTGGGAGTCTGGCCGGCATGGGGATGGAGGGAGCAAGCTGGGGGGTGGCATCAGCATGGGCAAGCCACTTGTGCAATGAGCTGGGGCTCTCTGAGGTCCACCCACCTCTTCCCTGCCCTGGTCGGTGTGTCTTGGGCAAAAGGGGTCACCCCAGCCTGGCCCTGTGCCTGCTGGTGGCAGGTTGCCCAGCAGGATGTCTGGCTGGGGCCACCACAGTTGCTGGAAGCAAGAGGTCGCGTGCTGGATGCTCAGGCACCTTCCTGCTGTCAGGACTTGGGGTTTCTTTCTGCCCCTTGGAGATTGCTTCAGCCTCGGGATGAGGAATGGGGAAGCTTGGCCCTGGCTTGCCCCTGGCATTACTCCACCCCAAATGGGCTCCTCTTGCCCACTATGGATGGAGAGGAAGCTTGGAAGCTTCTTGGATCTCTCCTCGATGGGGAGCTGGGCTCTCCAGCCTAGGTAACCCCAGGCTGGCCCAATGCCTGGCTTCTGCCTTGGATGGAAGCCCAAGGAGCTGTGTTTGGATAAATGGGAAAATACAGGGTCACAGCGTTTAAAGACACTGAAGTTTGGGGTCATCACCTCCAGCACATGTCCAGAGCCACAGCCACTGCTGTGCACAGCTGGCCAGGCTTGTGGCCAGGGCTGCAAGTGTCAGGGCTGTGGTAGGAGCAACCTGCTGAGAAAGTGGGACTTGGGACCACCTTCTCAGTGGCTGTTTCCTTCCCCCACAGAGCTCCCAGAGGATTGCCACCAGCTCTTCCTGACCGGGCAGCAAAGCAGCGGTGTTTTCCAGGTCCAGCCTGCAGAGTCTCAGCCCTTCAAAGTCTACTGTGATATGACCACAGGTAAAGCACTGGAGATGGCCTGCAGCGCTTGGCACAGTGGTCTTGCAAATGGTAAACCCAAGTGACTGTGTTTTCCCTGCCCACAGAAGGTGGCTGGACAGTGATCCAGAGGCGCACCGATGGCTCTGTGGATTTTGACCAGCTTTGGGATGCCTACAAGAATGGCTTTGGAGACCTTCATGGTAGGTGGATGACAGAGTCTATCTTCATACTGTGGGATAAGGAATATCTTAGCACAAGTTATCCCCCCTTGCTTGGCCCCTGGAGATCTCTGTGTGCTGGAGCACAGCATTGGGCTGAGGAAGTGGGGGACACTGCTTGTAAAGCAAGAGTCCTTGGTCTTCCTGACTTCTGACCAGACAGTGATTCAAATGCTGCATGGTCCTGGGTTGTCCTTGTTTGTCTCTGGAGTCTGTTCATGTGTCTGCTTTGCATGGCACATTTGTGTCCCTGCAGCCAATGCAATGTGTTCTTGTTTCAGGTGACTTCTGGCTGGGCCTGGAGAAGATACATCATCTTGTCCAAGAAGGAAGATACAATCTCCTGATTGAGCTGGAAGACTGGGAGGGAAATTCCCAAGTGGTTCAGTTTGTCTTCAGCCTTGGTGACGAGAGCACAGCCTACATGCTCAACCTGCTGGGACCTCTGTCTGGAGAGCTGGAAAATGCCATCGGGGACTTCAGGCAGCTGCCCTTCTCCACTCGGGATCGTGACCATGACCTCAAAGCTGACACAAACTGTGCCAAACATCTCTCAGGTCAGTATGAGCTCTTCCTTCCCAGTGGTGTGCACATTCCCTTCAGCCCTCTGCTGTCTGGTGGTGGCTGTGAGTGGGCCAGTGACCCTGCAGCACTAGACCACTTTGATGCTCAGCCTGGCTTTTCCCCTGCTTCCCTGCATCTTTGGGAAAGCTGCATCTTTGGGAGGAGCCTCTGTGTTGCCGGGAAGCTGAAACCAGGAGGAGTTCATGCTTCGGGTCTTGGCCCAAGCATCTGTCCTGAAAACAGCTTTACTGGCTGCCACCTTGCTTGGAAACCTTTCAAGTGAAGCAGCAGCCAGCCCCCAGGCCTGAAATGGGGCTGCTGAAGGGTTTGAGGGGAGCTGGCATGCAAGAAAGAGCAGCAGGGATTTGCAGTCATAGAGGATCTCTGCAAAGGCTTCCCAGTGCGTGGGACTTCTCAAGTATGTACGAGGTGGTCTTGTAAGGTTGTGAAGCCCTGGGAAAGTGGGGGCGGCAGCTGCCTTGAACCTGGGTTTGTCTTCTGTCTGGAAGTGCTGTGGGTTAAACCTGCCTCTGTGTTGCCTTGGTAGGTGGCTGGTGGTTCAGCACCTGTGGCCATGCCAACCTCAATGGGAAGTATTTCCGTTCCATCCCTCGCCAGAGGCACGAGCGCAAGCAGGGCATCTTCTGGAAGACATGGAAAGGCAGATATTACCCGCTGAAGTCAACCACCATGAAAATCCAACCTGCAGCACTGGAAGCAGAGTCCTAAAGCTGCAACTTGAGACTTGACCTTCTCTGTGGAGCACAGACCTGAGCTCCATCACTTGGTGTTTACAGAAAACAAGCCCACCCTCCCTGGGAAGTCTCCTGAGGGGTGTTTCTCTTGGTTAGCAGCCCTTTAGTGGCATGACACAGCTCCTCACTATAAGTAAAACAGCTCCATGTTGCTGAAACCCTGGATGGGAGCTCCTAAACCAGAGGAGGAGCCACCAGCAGGGAGATCCACCTCCAGAGCATGCACTAGGGTCTTCCAAGTTGCCATGTGCTGCTGTGGCAAGTTCAAGTCGTCTGGTGCTTTCTGTCCTGTCTGAACACTTCTGTGCTGGTTTTGCTGAGCTGGGGCTGGGGGCAAGGGGAGCATGTGAAGTGTTTTACTACCCTGGACCCAAGCACTGGGTGTGGAGCCTCGCTGTGTCCTATCTCTCAACCCTGTTCCCAAACTGTGTCCTGTGTACCCTCCTCGGAAAGCCCTGAAAACCTCCTTCCCCAGCTGGTGCCGGGGGTCAGTGAGCCTCTGTCAGCTCTGTCTGCACAGCCCCTGCTCCTATGACTTCAACCACCTGAGAATATGGGGTTTGGTGGGAAGGCTGAAGGACACCCTGGGCAGAAGGGGACCTCAGGTTCACTTGGCTTCCCTGGTCCCCACGGCTTCAAAGCCCCGTAGTTCTGGCTGTGCTGGAATTTGCTGGGAGCTGGGGAAACCACTTCCAACTCTGGAAGACAATGGGTGGGATCCTGCAGCTGGTTGCATGAGGGCCAGATCCTGGAGGATCTGAGCATTAAGCTCTGCCTGGAGCCTTCCAGTGCTGCTGGGGGGGGGTTAGGACGAGCTTTAGGACAGCAGAGGCACAGAGCAGTAGACTGTCCCTGGCAGGAACCAGCCCTGCTGTCACCTGTACATCCCCTGAAGCCTGGAGAGCTGCCTTCTGCCAACAGACTCCCCACACTTTGCAGAGTGAACAGTACATCCCACATGCCCACCCCAAAACGTGCTCTAAAGGGCTGGGGGCAACAGGGTGTCTCTGCAAGAGCCACACCTGCATGTACAGCGTCACCTCTGCCTTTTTGGGGGTGTCTGTGGAGATGGGGGCAAAACAGGTCTCTGAAAATTGTTATGGGCCAAGTTACTGTCTTGGGGCTTCCCAAGCATCCTGCCCTATCGAAGTCATATTGACTCTTGTGCTAGAGCTCCTAGCTGCTAAATTGTGTAAATAGTCATTTGTAGGATGTTGGATCCTGTTGATGAATTTCCTGTTGTAATTTGTTTCCATATTTAAATGCAGTGTTAATAACAATGTGGTGTAATTTATAAATGTTGATGCTGGGGGAAAAAAAAAAACAACAACCAGCAACTGTAGTTTGTGTATTTTAAACTTTTTTTTTTGTACTAAAATATCTTTTCTGAAGATGTCTTTTAATAAAAATGAACCTGTAACTGTCCTGCCTGAATTATTTGCACAATGGTTTACTAGTAGAAGATGTGTGAGAACTCTGGATTCAGAAACTTCACTTGTTGGGAGTTTGACCTGAGTGCTACTGTTCCTTCTGGCCTCAGTTTTCAGCTGTAGCCTCAGGGAGTTCTGAGATAAATCCCTGCTCTAGCCCTCAGCAGTGGTTTTTAGTCTGTTGGAAGTTTATGAAATTCTAAATTTCTTTCCCCTCTGGAAATTAGGCCCTGGGGAAGCAAGTTCACAAGTGATGAGCTGACCTTTGTACCGGGGAGATTTTCCTTGTAGCTGCCTAGAAAACCCTGAGCCAACTCCTTGAACGAGAGCAGAGGCTGAGGTCTGAATTATCTGGATGGATTAAAGTCAGAGCTTGAGCAGGACAAGCCACAGTAAGTAGCAGCCTTTCACCTGCTCGTACCATACAGGAAGAGTCATCTCCAAAAGCATTTATTGCAACTTTTGTGGAATGGTTGCATGTGTAAGAATGAAATGAGCTGGGAATGGAGCCTTGAAGCTGATGGGGATAAACTCCAGCTGTGCTCATGATCCTGGACATGTGGCCTGATACTGGAGCTGGAGAAATAGCATGTGCTTCTTTAACTGGTCAAGGAAGGGGAACAAAAATTGCTCCTTGCAGAAGGAAGAGCCAAGAGACTGTTCTAGTCCCCTGGAGCAGCTGTGATGGTGTGCTCAACCCCCCCTCCCTTTATTTCCTGTGACCCCATTCGAGTGATAACCACCAGTGGTGACCATCATGGATGCCCTCTGGTTGTGATAGCTGCATCCGGCTCGGGGGAGATGGATAACAACACAATAGCCAAGGGCTATCTTGGGCAGCTTGCTCCAACAGCACAAGGCTTGTTGAGTGTAAACTGACCGAAATACAGCTGGTGTGCAAATATGACTGTAGGTCAATCATCTCACTCCATCAACAGTAGACAGCCCAGGGCCCATGGAGCTCTCCTGAAACAACAGCGGGCTGCACACCGGGATCTCCCCTGGAGCAGGGATGCCTCTCAGGGTTACTCCTTGAGGCTGAGAGATTCCTTGCCAGTAAGTGACTAAGAGTTGCTAAACTGTAAAATCTGAGCTAAGTGCTAGAAAGGATTGATTGCACATTTATAATCCTTTAGACATAAACCATTGACCAAGTCTGGGACTAGGATTGGATTCAGCCGCACCTGGACTCCTCTCTGAGAAGGAGTTTAGAAACCAAGGGTGTCCTTCCCAAACCTCATGACTCAACGGGAGGGTCTCCCTGACAGTTGTGTCTGACCCTGTCCTTTATGCAGTAAAGTGACTCTTGCCAGCAAATCCTGTTAAATGAATGTCGCATTAACCTTTGAACTGTGTTAATTCACTATTTGATATCAATAAATATATCGTTACATCTCTCTGATGAGTCAAGTGCGTAACTCACTCTGACTCTCTATCCGTCACAGCAGCTGGATAAATACCTGCTCTACCTAAACGTGGCCCCAGCTCCTGTGTCCATCCTTCCCTGGTGAAAAACCTGGAGTTAACGACAGCCCCAAGCACAATCGCACAAACAGCCCACGATACCCGGCTCTGCTCACTCCTGCACTCAGAAATACATTTTTAATGTTCCATTTGCTTAATTCAAATCTTGTTTAGTCCTTGGGTGCACCAGCAGATACTGGGGTGCTGTGTTCTAGTCTGGATGCTAAAGGGATTAGATTAAGGTGGTTTTTAAGCATCAAACAGAACCTGGTGAAGGAGCTGTGCTGTTATTTCTTCATTGGGATTTTTTTTTGGCAGATCTGGGGTTTGATCCCCCTGTAGTATATTTGATCTTCAGCACCTACAGGAGATGCTCGGAGGACAATGCTGGTACCAAACACCAGCTGGGGGATGGTTAATGCCCCACATCTTGCCTAGCCCAGGAACTATAGCTGCTGCTTTCTTCTGTACCCTGGTCTCACCCTGTTCTGCCGTGCAAGTCTCCATGTCCATCAGTGTCAATGCCACCCCATGTCCCCCAGATCATAGGTCCCACGTCGGAGCATGTGGCACCCCGGGGCCCTTGCAAGGTGTCTCTGAAGAAGAAGCTAGTCTTAGATTTCTCTGTTTTCATCTGAAATCCTCCAGCTCCTTCATTTTTAACAACTACTTGAACTGCAGCGTCTCCTAACATCTGGGAGGCCCATGAAGGATGGGGCAGCTCCCTCCAGTGACAGCAAGAGAAACGGCACCATGTGCTGCTGAAAGCACAAAAATCCTTTGGGTTATGGAATCCCAGACTCCCAGAATGGTGGGGGCTGGAAGTGACCTCTGGAGATCATCTAGTCCAACCCCCCTGCCAAAGCAGGGTCACCTCGAGCAGGTTGCACAGGATCACATCCAGAGAAGGAGACTCCACAACCGCTCAGGGCAGCCTGTTACCAAATGCTGCTGCTCCCCAAAAGAGGCCATTGCTCCCATACGGGCCAGTCTATGGCCCCACAGCACCTCCTGACATGATTGTCCATCCAGGGCTTCAAGTCTTCCCAGCAACACCTCACCAAGCAGCTGGAAAGAAGGGCAGCTGCTTGCTTTGGCGTGGTGAAGGTGGTGATGGGGTCCGAGCTCAGCACATGCTGGGTGGCTGAAGGCTGCGGGGTCTGGAGATGGTGGGACAGGGCTTTTCAGGGCCAGAAGCACTCCAGGACAGCCTGGGCTGTGGTCCAGCGGGGTGACTCAGGCCTGGCACATGCCTCAACATGGAGCCTGGACTCATCAGTAGAAGCAGATTGAACTGCAGCAGCTTTGAACCTGGGGGTTCTCTCAGAGCATTTTTAGATCAAGAAGATGTTCAGGTACCAACGTCCAGACCCAGCTGTGTTTGGTTGCCCCAGTAAGGACAGAGAGCCCTGACCCGCTGCACAGAGCCCCCTCCAAATCCAACCTGTGTCTGAACGGCAGAAACAACTGCTGGGAGATTGGACAGTGGGTCCTCAAGCCCTTCTTTTATACAACATCAGAATCCAAATCACTCTTTGCAAAGTTTGGCAAAAGGAAGGTGTTTGTGCACACACAGAGCGGCACCAGCTCGGGCAGACGGGCTGAGTCCCCTGTGCCAGTGGCACCAAGACGCTGGAGAGGGAAACCAGAGACATTGCTCCGAGCTGCCTGCCACCACCACGGCCATCACAGAGCTCCAAAAGGAAAAGAAAAAGGCAAATTGGAAAATCCCCGCTCAAATCCGACACCTGGTGCAAAGCCACAAAATAGCCAATTCCTAAAAGAGACGAGTTCTTCACCCATCGACACTCCCCGGGCACCCCCAGCCTGGACCCCGACCCCTGGCCTCACCAGCACCAGCAAGAGTCACACTTTCAAACCCATTACTTGCTCCAAATGCCTCAGAGTGCCTGGTGGACACTGGGGCATTGTGACTCTCCCAGTCCTCCCAGTAACTTTAGCTCTTCTGCTGGAGCTCAGCAGCATGGAGCACAAATCGAGTTTCCCATGGACATCTCTGGCAAGACTTTGTGAGCACCCACGCCCTTCCCAGGGACAACTCCCAAGCACAGCGCTCTGGGGTGGCTCCTTTGAGGGTGTCCACAGACACCCAGAGGACCA